CCAGTCGGAGACGCAGGGGGCCGGTGAGACGACCACGCGGGGTGTCCATGAAAAGAATGGTTTGACCAAGGGGGGCCCGAGTTTAGGAACTTTCCCTTTACTTACTTCAGTCGGTCAAAAGAGAGGCTCGACGACTGGACTTCGGTATGTGTTCCACTTCTTCGAAGTTGGGAAAGGTGTTTGGAATGTCTTGCAGTTCCTGCATCTCCTCCGCTTTGGTCAACCCGGCCCACCCTTGTGTCTGCCAAACCCCTTTATTCTAGAAGTTTATCATCTTGAAAAAAGAGCAACAAAAAGGCAATCACAAAAATGCAACCGGAAAAACAAAAGCAATCACAAAAGCCAAAAAAAAGAGCGCAATCACAAAGTGCAGCCAGAAAAACACAAGCAATCATAAATCAAACAACATTGCAAGCAAAAATGGAACAACTCAGCCGGGCTCTCTGACACACTTTTTGGAAGGGTCCACGTTCTGGCGCACTTTCTGGCGCACTTTTGGGGGAGGGTCCACTTTCTGGTGTACTTTTGGTCGCTTTTTCATGTTTTCCGGCGTCGGGTAAAAAGTCGCACTTTTTGTCGCTTTTTCTTTCGACCTTTGTTCATATTGTTTTTCCACAAAAAGAGAGAAACGAACAAAAAGCAAAACAAAACGCGACCAAAAGTGCGACATTTGACCCGGCACCAGAAAAGACACTTGTCCAGTACTAACCCTACCCGGCCCCACCAAACTACCCTCTGTGATTTGCTTGTGCTTTTTTGGTTTTGTTTGTTTTTCTTTTTCAAGTGTGATGATATCTAGACTGGTGGACACAAGCCCACCCTACATTCTGATCCTCCACCAAGAAACCATCCTCAAATCCGCCAGCCGCCCAAAATCGCCCAAATCCGCGGTCCAAAAAAAACGCCAACCTCGTCTTCACTCCGCTCGCGCGTCGCGTTGAACGCTCTTCGCGTTGAACGCTCTTCGCGCCAATGGACTCCGAGAGTGAATGGAGCGCTTCGCGTTGACGCTTGTCCAACTTCGCCTCGAGCGCCGGCGTCCCGTCCGGCCAGGCGGTGGAACCCAGCGGGGCGAGAGAGGGTGGAAGCGCTCCGGTTCGGCGGCGTTCGGCGGCCTTTTTGATGTGGCGGCTTCGGCCATATATGGAAGGAACAGCAAAAAGGGGTGCTTCGTCGCCGGCTAGTTCATCCGTGGCCAACGATGTGACCATGGGTGCTTCGTCATCCCGTCAGAATTCAGGTGTTGCCCGATTCAGGTGGACCAAAATGACTTGTTTGGTCGACCTCCTAATCCACAAGACCTCTCAAAATGACTCGAGTATCCACAGTGCTTCATTGAGATTGTTGGAGCCGATGCTTCCAACTATGTGAATGTCCCGAAAAGTTCCAGAGCGGGTCCCAACTGTGTATAGTATATTTAGCTAAACCTTTTGTTGTCCATGGCGCTAATTGTTGTCTTTTGGTATGCAAGGACGAGAATTGTTGTCCAGGACGTGTCTTACCGTAATCCCTGAACTGGTCTGTTTGACAACACTCAAATATAATAACCATATATAGTGTTCAGGCTTTGGACGTGAAAAAGAGTTCAGGCTTTCAAAAGAACCTGAATTCACAAGATGGACTAAATGTTGCGAGAACGTGTAAAAAGCTATATATCCTTTAGCATCCTGGACTGGAATTGGTATCTATCCAGGCAGGTAGTAGAATCAGAATTAGAGTTGAACAAGGGATCAAATTTTGCACGGGCACACCATGGCAAACAGTCGACTGGAATATGTTTGGGCTCAGAAGGCCACAAGTATGTCGTAGTCCAACTGCCATACCACTTCCAACTATAGACAATTTGGCGGACTGGTCACATGTTTTTAGAACTCTGTACATTTGAACCCTCAAAACATGTGAAAGAAAAGTGCGTGGCCAGGCACATGTTGGCCGTGCGTATAGTGGCAATACTCCTCGGCTCACAGCGGGACACTCGGTCCGGACCAGCGGACAGCGATCCAATGGAACCCCGTACTACCGCAAAAGTCTCTTCAAACGGCACATGGATCTCCTGAAGGCTGGCGATGAGACTCTTTTGTGTTTCGCAGATCGACCATGTTCGAAGATGATCGATGATTGCGGCATCTGACTGGTGGATAAGGTATACTATTCATCGCTTGAACTATTAAAGGACACACTATATCGAGCGATCCACGCAGTTCCATGCGTTCGTTTTGCGTTTCATCGCTTCGTGAACGACGCTCGTCTCCCACGAAAGTTTCTCCGCTCGTAGCGTGGACGGAAGAACGGAAGACAGCGAGACAAAACGAGCTTCGCACTGGTCACCCTTGGGGCATTCCCCATAGTATAAGAAGAGGCAAGGCTTTCGACAGAACTCGGGATGTCCGAGGCTGCCCAAGGAGGCGCAGGCCGGAGGCATTCCTCCTAACAGCATGGCGATGAAAAGAAACACGTCCCGCCCCAAAGTGGTCAGATCAGTTTGAACTCGGGTTTGCGCAACAGCGAGTGGCTGACTGATCATCTGGCTGATTGGATTTTGACTTTTGGGGTTCCTCATGTTCCTCTTCGCTCACAAATGTCAGGCGGGGAGACCCCCGGACGTCCCTTGCTCCCGTGCTGAACTTCTGCCAGAACCTTTGAGATCCGAGATTGACCCATCGAAGTTACTCAATTTTCCAATCCTTTTCGATCCTCCGAAGCTAAACAGTTTGGGTGGGCGGAAAGTGCACGAACTCGATCTTCAACTCTCGGCGCCTGCGCAGGCGCCGGTGGGCTCGCTCTCGGCGACCACGCCGCTCGGTGGTTCTTCCAACCCCTTCGGCGTCTGCTCGCCTGAGCGGCGATGAGGTCGAACTCGTGAGAGATGGAGTGTTTGTTGGATGCCCCAAAGGCGATGAATTTCTATATATAACATATTAGATATATAGATCAGAATGTAAACATCATTTAAAGACCTTTTATGGCTTATAGGCTTGTATTTATATCTTCAAAACGGTCCTTTCACTGCACCTTGCGGCACCGACGGCTTCTCTTCGGGTGTGGTTGCATCCGTCTCCAGCGGAAGGAAGGACAAAGCATTGGCGCGTTGCTCCAAATGGGCCACGTATTTATCAGGCCTGCACACACACACACCGCAACCGGTCAAGGTGTCAGTCTGAAGAGCTTGTGAACTTCTCCAATGCAAAACTGATGAGTTGTTGATGAGTTCTGTCTTCTTGTTTAGGTCCCCAATCTAGGCCTGTTCAAACCATCCGGCAGCATGTGGGAGAAGAAGCCCTACCATGCCATGTCCGTTACTCAGACATCTTTCCGTGCAGCCGTTAGTCGGCGCATGTCGGCCCGTCGAGCGAATTCGTGGTTTGTTTCGAGACAGCCTCAGGCACCCGAATAAGAACAACGGCAGACCCAAAACAACATGGGCTTGACCGGCTTGACCTTGCAATGTTGTTGAACGCGGATGGGGAACAAGAAAAAGCGCTGGTTACGTGGGTTCTGATTCCAATCCGGTCAAAAAAAAACACACGGGACATTCCCATGTCTTGTGCCCCACACCGCACAAACAAAACACCTACTGTTCTTGCGAAACACCGCTCAGGCCGGTCTCTTTGGAGCCGGTCTAAGCCGGTCTCCAAGTCCCAGTCGTTTTGCTGTCCTCGATGCTGGAAGCACATCCAACATGTCGGGCAAACTCTGGGTTCGCTTCATGGTCGGCGTTTTCTCCTGAAAGCATCGATCAGGTCCATAGGTGTCAAATTCCTACTTCGATCCCTCTCATTTGAAGCTGGACTTGATGAAGGTATAGAAGAGGTGGATCGATTCAAGATAAGAATACCAGTTGAGCGATGTTGAGCGTATTCTAAGATGCTGCTACTGCTGCTGTTCATTTCGCTTGACTGAGATTCTTTAAACCATCGACCTGAGTGACTCTAGAACTCGCCCAAAAGAGCTCGCTATACAAAACCCCACGAATTCGCATCACCTCCTGGACCCAGGAAAGGGATGCAGGAACGGACGCCGGACACCGTCGACCGATACGTGCGACCGGCGCTTGGTCCAACAGCAATCCGGGCCGCTTTGAACATGTTTTGAGGGTCCAGACTCCAGAGCCCTGCGATGGTGGCTTCAAGGATTCTTAGGGAGGAAAGGACATCAAAACACCGCCAAGAGTGTGGCACCGCCTAAGTCAGGCGCCAAAGAACACACAATCCAAACATATGAAATCAAACAATTACTTTCCACTGCCCTTCGTTGGAAGAACACCCTCGGATGGTTTACTAAAGGTGTGCCTCAGTTGTACAGGCTCCTTCCTCTAAACTTTAACGCTTTTTCGTATGCTCCAAGTTGAATTTGCTTCTCCTTCCTTCCTTCCTTCCTTCCCTCCTTGACCACCCACCAGCAGCACAGGCACTGGCCATTGCAAACAGCAGAGGTCAAAGCGAACACGTTTCACCCAACGTCCGCGAACACGTCGGGATGATGTTCGGCTTCGGCGTCACCCAACGTCCGTCCTGCACGCAAATGAAGGTCCCTTTGTAGCAGCACTCGAGATCCGTGACATCCGCTGCAACCATTGCGCAGGACTGGTGAATGATCGAATGCTTTTCCCGCACTTAGGTCACTCAGGGACCAAAGAGCTGTGCCGTCTTGAGCAAAACGCAGGACACCCAGCAATGCAAAGTCAAAGACCTAGCGCCTGCACAGCATAAGATCATACTTGTTGCAGAGGCAACCTCTGGAGAAAAGACGGGCTGGCTGCCCAGAAGACCCTCCACACAAGGGGGTGGACTGGAATTCTTGAGCTGGGAATACATAATACTAGCAGCTGTATAAGAGGATATAGAGAGATCTATTACAAGGTAGCAGATATAGTAGATGCTATATAGAGATGTATACAAGTATTCTCTTGTATAGTGCTATAATGCATATATATATATATATCTGCGTACTTGATTAGACTTTGTATCAAGAGATTTTCTATTGCTTCACAGGCACCCTTTGCGACCCCTAACTCGAGAGTTCCTCCTTGGCGCCCACCAACTTCATCAATGATTGGCACCACATCAATTGCAATTCAACTTGCAAGCAAAGTGCAAGCAAAACGAAACAACTATCGCACGTGACTGGAAACTGTTTCTGGAAACCGAGAGGACCGACGATCTGGAAACTTCCAGCTCTGGACTGTTCTTCAGACCATCTGCTGGATGCATAATTGCTTGGCATGAATCACATCAATCATCTATGAAATCAAAGCCCACATCGTCAGATCTTCTTCACCTCTTCTTCACATCCTTCTCATCGACAAAGAAGTGGAACGAGCATTACTGGATTCAATCCTGCAAAGCCCAAGTGTTTCATGTGCACCCACATCAGCAATCCAAACTGCACGGTGCCAATGGTGCCCAACAAATAGAAGAGAGGAGCAATATTGGCCACCTCGGTCCCACGAGGTCGCACGGATCCCACGAGGTCCCGGGACAACCCGAAGCGCTGGCAACTCGATTCGAAGGTGTGGGAATCATCTCAGTGTGGCCTCATGATGAGCTTCTCGATCTCGCAAAAAGGTTGACCAAAACACTCCAGGTATGATAACATATAGACTATATAAATACTTAAATAATATGCGTATCAGTAGATCTATATAGACCAAACACGATGGTTTCGGAGGCCGATCGCTCCCAGCCTTGGGGAAGTCTGTTGGGTTTCATGGTTTATCTTTCTCAGTAAAGAGTACAGACTGGAAACCATAGGAAGGAGGCACCAAGTGTCCAAGCTCTCGAAAATCACACCATTGTCATGGGTTTGCGAGCTGAAAACTAAGCACAGTTCCATGGCAAACAAACAACTATCTGAAACGTCTGAAACTCAATTTACTGAGAACGGCAGCTCGCGGAAAAAAATGAGAACATCGACTGGATGATTCAGACCCTACCAATGAGTTGGCCGACTCCACTTGTTGAGACATCTCGTGTCACACTAAGTGAATGGATTCCCACACACAGCCAATGGGACTGCAAATAATATGGCCTACACCTGGCCTAGTGGCTTTTAGTGGTGAATGTAGGCCATGGCTGGTGCCACCATGGAGCGTTTGGGAGTGTTTCTTTGTTGTTTTTTGCATGCGAACCGACCATCACCGCGCTGTGCCAGGGGGGTCGTCTAACCACTGGTCACCTGAGGAGATGGGACAGGAGCCCTACTGTAGGGCTTTCAGGAGTCTCACCGATCTCTTTTGAAGTGGTGTAGCTTATACCCTAGGCTTCCTGGCCCACCATTCATTCAATAGGCCAACTACCGCATCAACTCAGGATTTTACACTCCAAAAACCAGGTCAACCATTGTGTTCATGGTCTCGGAAGTCTGGGTATAGTTGTGCCAGTCACATGGAGGACGTCGGATGCGATCCGCTGCCAGAAGGATGGCCTCCCCTTACATCACATCTAGATGGGACGAGCCACACCAGATGTGGTTGGTCTTTTTTGGTCCCATGGACGCTGTGTCTCTGTCTCTGTGTCTCTGGCTCCTCTGACCGACTTGCCTCGCGGCGAGAGGTCGAGACGGGTCGATCCGGTGAGACGGGCGGAAGCAGAGGTCAGATGTGTCGGCCAGACCCGCTGGAAAACCATGCAGAGCAAGGTCATGTCATATATTTTACAGCTCAATTGAACTTGCATGCGCTGCATCTGTGTCAACTCCAGCTTCACGCAACAATCGCACACTTCCAAGTGGCCATCCTCGGCTGCAAAGTGCAAAGCCGTCCAACCATTTGTATCTGCTGTATCTTTGTCAGCTCCCGCCTCAAGCAGCAATCGGACAACTTCCAAGTGGCCTTCCTGGGCCGCAATGTGCAAAGCCGTTACTGTTACTCCATGCGTCGTTGCCGCATCCTTGTCAGCTCCAGCTTCAAGCAACAACCGCACA